AGCCCTCCCACTGTTGCCCCCCCCCAAAAACACCAAGAACACAGAGCATCGGCGCTGGGGAATTCATGGGGGAGGAAGTGACTCACAAAAGCTCATACTGAAATACCTTGGGTGCAGGTATTTCCTATCACCTGTTCCCTGGCCCTCTTCACCGGCAATGCTGAAGATTGAACCTGGGACCTTCTGCGTGCCAAGCCACGGCTCTCCACGCAGCCACAGCCCCCTCCTTAAATGGACCTGCCTTTTACTAAGTTAGATGATCCTTGGTCTACCACCTCCTCCTTTCAAACCTGGAACCCCCGTCATGCCAAGCAGATGCTCCGCCACTGAGCCACACTAAATCAAACCAAGGTTTCCTCCAGAGTCCAGACATCTGGACCTCTGGCTCAAAGGGCAGAAAGCATGCCTGGAGCACCTCCAGTTTGGTGTAGTGGTTAAGTGTGCGGACTCTAATCTGGGAGAACCGCGTTTGATTCCCCACTCCTCCACTTGCACCTGGCTGGATGACCTTGGGCAAGCCGTAGTTCTGATAAGAGCTGTCCTTGGAAAAGAGCAGTTCTCGAAAGAGCTCTCTCAGCCCCACCTACCTCACAGGGTGTCTGTTGTGGGGAAGGGAAGGGAAAGGAGTTTGTAAGCCGCTCTGAGACACCTTTGGGTAGTGAAGGGCGGGGTATAAATCCAATCTCTTCTCTTCTCTCCTCTCTCCACCGCCCCCGGCGACGAAGCCTCCCCGCTCACCCCAAAGTGAACTGCACCCCAGATCTCTTTGATAAAGACAAAAAATCCTTGCAAATCGCTTTCCCCTCTTCCTTTGCTTGATCTGGAAGGAGGCGTCAAAGCCTGGGCCACATCAAAGGCTGAAGGGGCGGAGAGAGTCCCCTTTCCCCAAATTCCCTCCTGCTCCGGGCGCTGCCCCCGCCCTTCCTCCCTCCGACGCCCCACCCGGCGGGAGCTCCTCGGCTTCAAAGGCAAAAGACCCTCCCGGGATAGGCGGTTCGTGCCTCCGCAGTCCTCTCTAGCGAGCAGAGCTCTGTCGACTTAACGCTTTCAACACCGCTGCTGCAGCTTCTCGACGCTAACTCAGCTTCGCACGCCTACAACCGTGTGTTTGACATTCCTTGTTGTTTCTACGAACGAGAACAGAATTAAACAAAGAACGGGAAAAAAAATAACTTAGCTCCAGAGAGATCAATTGCCGTGGAGGAAATGGCTTCTTTGGAGGGTGGACTCGATGGCATCCAAATATCAGTGAACTCCCTCCCTCCCTTTCCCAAGTTCTGCCCTCCCTCCGCTCCACCTTTAAATCGCGAGTGATTTCCTAACCCAGAATCGGTATCCCTGCTAACTCTGTCACAGGAGCTTGCTGGGTGACCATGAGAGCCAGTCTCACTCTCTCAGCCAGGCCTACCTCACAGGGCTGTTGTGAGGATCAAACAGAGGACAGGAAAATGATGTAAGCCGCTTTGCATCCCCATTGAGGGGAAAGGAAGAAGATATTGGATTTATACCCCTCCCTTCACTCCTTGAAGGAGTCTCAGAGCAGCTTACAATCTCCTTTCCCTTCCCCTCCCCACAATAGACACCCTGTGAGGTAGGTGGGGCTTAGAGAACTCTTTTGAGGACTGCGTGTGAGAGAACTTGTGACTGACTCAAGGTCACACCAGCAGCTGCATGTGGAGGAGTGGGGAATCAAACCCAGTTCTCCCAGATTAGAGTCCGTTCTCTTAACTGCTGCACCAAATTGGCTCTGCATGGGGATGGGAAATAGGGTTGCTGAGCTTCAGATGGCACCTGGAGATTTCCTGCTGTGGTGGCTCAAGTGGTTAAGACGCTGAACTGCAGGCTGTGGAAGGTCGGTAGTTCAGCAGTTCAAGACCCGGGTGCCGCATGACGGAGTGAGCTCCCGTCTCTAGTTCCAGCTCCTGCCAACCTAGCAGTTCGAAAGCAAAAAATTGCAAGTAGATAAATAGGGACCACTTCGGTGGGAAGGTCACAGCGTTCCCTGCGCCTTGGTGTTTAGTCATGCCGGCCACGTGACCACGGAAACGTCTTCGGACAGCGCTGGCTCTTCGGCTTTGAAACGGAGATGAGCACCGCAACCCTAGAGTCGGACTCGACTGGCTTTCGAGCAAGGGAAACCTTTACCTTTACAGTTGATCTCCAGACAATCAAGATAAGTTCCCTTGGAGAAAATGGCTGCTTTGGAGGGTGGACTCTATGGCATTATACCCCTCTAAGGTTCATTCCTTCCCAAACCCTGCCTTCCCCAGGCTCCACCCCCAAAATCTCCAGGTATTTCCCAAACCCAGAGCTGGCAACCCTAATGGGATTTGGCCTGCAGTTGTAAGGATCCCAACCTCCAGGTGGTGCCTGGAAATTTTCCCAGAATTACAACTGTTCTCAGGACAACATAGATCAATTCCCCTGGAGGAAAGAGTCTGGTGGGGCCCCGTGTTGGTCAGAGGCAACAGAACAAAGTTTGAGTCCAGTGGCACCTTTAAGACCAAGAGAGTTTAATTCTGGGTATACGCTTTTGTGTGCATGCGCACTTCTGTATGTATGTATTTAAAGTAGTGTGCATGCACAGGAAAGCTTATACCCGGAATTAAACTCTCTTGGTCTTTTTTTATTTTTTTGCAAATTTTTATTAGTTTATATACAGAAAGTGGGGAAGGGGGAAGGGAGGTAGAAAAGTACAGAAATATTAAAAGTTCCAGTTTAGCATGCTGCATTCATATCTTCTCATTACAATTTCACAACTACTTCATCTATCCTTCTTCGCTTAATTTTAGTTTCTCAATAAACTCTCCTGGTCTTACAGGTGCCACTGAACTCAGACTTTGTCCTGGAGGAAAGGGCAGCCTTGGAAAGTGGGCTTGATGATGGCATCACGCAGGATCCGTTTGTCACGCAGGATCCTTGGGCGTCGCCCATTGTATTAAATTGTTTTAAATGTTTTATTGTGAATTACGGTGCTGCATTGCACCCTATATTGTAAGCCGCCCTGAGCCCGCGTGCGGGGAGGGCGGGGTATAAATAAAATTAATTAATTAATTAAATAAATAAATGATATCCCGCTGGACTCTGCTAGGGATGCCAGCCTCCAGGTGGGACTTGGGGGTCCCCGGGAATTGCAGCTCATCCCCTTAGACTACAGAGATGAATTTGCCTGGAGAAAAGGGATGCTTTGGAGGGAGGACTCTGGGGCATTGTACCCCACGGAGGTCCCTGTCCTTCCCAGGCTCCACCCCCAAATCTCCAGGAGTTTCCCAACCTGGATCTGGCCACACACACACCCCGCCAGTGGCCAAGGGGGACCTGGCAACCCTATAAAATTGCGGGTGGGTGGGGACTTGTGCCGTTCCCCCCTCCCCTACGTCTTCACCCAAAGAGTGATAAACACGTGGAATTCACTGCTGCAGGAAATGGTGGCGACTACAAGCAGAGACAGCTTCCAGAGGGGATTGGATAAACATCTGGAGAAGAGGTCTATCAGTGGCTAATCACCACAAGGTACAGAAGGAACACGCTGTCTGGGGCTGTGGTACTGTGTATTCTTGGTGCTTGGGGGGGAGGCAACAGTGGAAGGGCTTCTGTAGTTGTGACCCGGGTAGACTTCCTGATGATACCTGGGTTTGACAACTGTGTGACACAGAGGGTGCGTTCAGACGCGCCGTTTCAGCCGGCATAAACTGTACCGGTTGGAATGGTGCAGTTTATGCCGGCTGAAACGTGATCACACTTACCTCCCTCACAGCGGAGCCCATTGCTGTATGCCCGTTCACATGCCGCGGGCGTCGGCGTTTTTTTTTTAAATTCAATTTGAGCATGCGCATAGGCAGCCATCCACAGAATGGCGATCTTTGAGCATGCTCAAAACACCCCGTATTACATTTAAAGTTTAAAGGTAAGGACTTCCCTTTAAAGTTTAAAGCCCAAACTGGCCTCCCTGAAGTCCCAGACTCCTTCGGAAAGTTAAACTAAGGGCCTTTTCTTTTTTTTAAAAACAAATGCCGGGGCGAAGCTTCGCCCAAGTGCATATCGGCAACTTAAAAAAAATGGTGGGCAAAAATCGGAAGCCTCGGGCTTCCGAACGGAAGTGGCTAGACACCGGTGGAGAGCGGTCAGACGGGGGTAAACGGATTACAACCGTTGTACTCAGGATACCACCACTTGGGGACCTAGTGGCAGAGTACAACGGTTTAAAGGGCTTTGCAACGGTTAGGGACGGAAGGCAGATGTTCTACGTGTGAACGCCGGTAAGTACACCGATTGCAACCGGCACCTATACCATTGCAAACGCCGCGTCTGAACGCACCCAGAGTGTCGGACTGGATGGGCCATTGGCCTGATCCAACTTGGCTTCTCTTATTATCAGCTCCAGCATGGAAGGAGAAGACGGAGTACAAAGACTCCAAAGAATCTTTTAAAGCATTCTTCTCTATACACACACACACACACACACACACAGAGCAAGTGCTCTGACACAAGTTTTGTAAACTAGAGGGGCCAGAGTGGTTTGTTACAAGTTCAGATGCAGAATAAACAGCTCCTCCCTGCTTAGCACTGATTGCAAGCCATTATACAGACACTGTTTTAGGAAGAGAAGAATTGCCACCATTCCATGATACTGTGCAACCACCAACAGTGGGTGTTAGGACCCGGGAATGACTGGGAACACCCACCTCTTCCCAAGACTCCAACAAGGCCATTATGTAGCTCTTCACCTTGTCACCAAGGGGCTGGCCACAAAAGCAGAGCAACACTGGCTAAATCCTCTTTTATATCCATTGTTTGCGCAGGACGTGGCAAAATGTCACACCACCAGTTTCTGTGCCCTCAAGGACAGTTCAGCCCATTATCAGTTTTCAGACAACACCTTGTGTGAATAAACAGGCAACCTTAATCCTTCCCTTCACTGTTATGTGACACAGATGAAAAAATAGCTTTTACTAAATAGAGAATATTTTTTCATTGACAGATCCCAACTTTGTGGGGCTCAAAGACATAGTGGTAAGATCGGTGAGAGGCGCAAATTGGGGGGCTATGCCACCCTCTGTCCAATTCTGACACGAGTCCCTCCCTCACTTCACTTTACTTATCATTAAACCAAGCCCTGATTTGCTGTGTCTTATCTAGAAAGTCTTCTCTGTAGATGGCTGGCCAGAATGAAAATTTCATCAGTTACATGAAAGGCAAACACATATGCAAAAGCGGTATTTTTTGTTTCTTGCACTGGTGCCTCTGGAGAAGTCAGAAACGGTTTTCAAGCAGGAGAAATCGTGCACGGTGCTCGTCATTCGGAAGAGAAAAGACTGGGGCGGGAAGATCTTCCTTCTCACTGACAGGATCCACTTCCGTCTCGGGCAAAGATGGCTGCGGTCTCTCACCACACCTAGGTGAAAGATGGTCGTTTCTGCCGGCACCCCCAGGACGTTGTGCCCCGAAACAAGAGCAAGCAATTTCCCAACTGTTGAAACAAGAAAAATTACAGAGTAGTCAATGTATTCTTTTCTTTATATGTTTGTTTTATTTAATGTACCCTTTTGGCACTTATGGAGCTGCGGTGGCTCAAGTGGTTAAGACGCTGAACTGCAGGCTGTGGAAGGTCAGTAGTTCAGCAGTTCGACACCCGAGTGTGCTGCATGATGGAGTGAGCTCCCGTCTCTAGTTCCAGCTCCTGCCAACCTCGCAGTTCAAAAGCAAGAAATTGCAAGTAGATAAATAGGTACCACTTTGGTGGGAAGGTAACAGCGTTCCGTGCGCCTTGGTGTTTAGTCATACCGGCCACATGACCACGGATATGTCTTCGGACAGCGCTGGCTCTTCGGCTTTGAAACGGAGATGAGCACTGCAACCCTAGAATCGGATTCGACTGGCTTTCGAGCAAGGGAAACCTTTACCTTTGGCACTTGGTCGCAATACTGCTGATGGAAGCTGCCCAGAATCTGCAGTGGTTATATGCTGCAAGCAAAGCCTTTTGAAGGCACCACCCTACAAATGGGTAAGGTCGGCAACTGAGATTGGGGAGGGAAAGAAAGGCACTTAAACATGCTTTATTTCCCCCTCCCTCCCTTCCTGAGCTTCTCTGCAGCAGCAGCAGAGAGGCTCAGGGAGGGAAGGGGGCATGTTTCCATGCCTGCCCTTTGCTTTCCTCCTGCCGTGGGGGGGGAGCCGAGGAGTGCGAAGCCATGATCCGAGCCTGGGGAAGGCACCACGGCGATGGCGGCGGCATCAGGTGTGCGAGAGGGGCTGGTTCGCCGAGGCCTGCGATGTGCGACAGCTACAGCGGCGGCGGAGGACCCGGGCTGGCTCCTTGCGAGCCGGGCCGGGCAAGGGCGCCCCTGCTCCTTCTGCGCGGCACTTGCCTCCTTTGCCAGCTGCTTTTCCTGCCTTCCTTCCCCCTGGCTCTGAAGCCTCGCGGCTTTTTCTTCTTCCCCCCCCGGCTTCGAAGCGAGGGCCGAGTGGCTTTTTCTCCTCCCCCCCGGCTCCAAAGCGAGGGCCCCCCTCCCGGCTCGCTGCTCACCTTCCAAGTGGCAGCGGCGGCAGCAGCGGTCACAGAGCGTTCCCTGCACATGCGCAGGGGACGCTCTGTGAGTTTCGGGGGGATTTAAACATCCCCCGATGTTATTTTTCAGGTTTAGGATTTTTGTGCACACGTGGGGACCGCCCCACGTGCGCACAAACCTCTCCCTCCCCCCCAGGTCCCTCCGATGTGCGGATTTAAGTATCCGCACACCAGGGGGCGACTTGAGAATTAGATATATAGATGGCTTGAACCTAACAGCTGACTGGCTGGGAGTGAAATCCACAAGGAAAGCTGAAGGGGCTTCCAGAGGGAAAGAAGGCATTTTTTTTTTTTTTTAATTTAAATTTTTTATTGTATATTCAGAATATTAACATAAACAACAATTCCTGTAAAATACATTTCAGAACATTTCAGAATAGATACTTCGCAAGTACCTGCTTTTTTAAGTAAATTTGCAATAAGCATGGTAGAGAATAATTGAAACATTGTACATTTAAAGACATTAATACAAGTATATAGCTTTAGAATACTATACAATCAAGAGCAACTGTTACAAGTGATTATGTAGAGATTCTTTGTTACTGTTCTACTTGAAAAGTTTTAAACGACCTTGTTACATGAAAACCAGTTGCGACTGAGCAATGTTTTGTGATATAGGTTTTCAGAACCATTTCAAGTAATCTTTCCAAGATGGAGGTATGTATTCTTCCTCCGATAGATAAGACAGAATTGGAAACCACTTTGCACTGAACGTTTTAATTGAGTTATTTTTCATGTAAGTACCCATTTTATCAGTTATACTTTCGAGGACATATTGGTCCCATAGCCTCCCTTCCCTCTTGTCGGGTTTATCAGACCCGAATATATATTCGGCAATACCGAATATTTTCCCCGTCCTGATACTTTTCCAGTATTGGGCTGGGGATATTCGGCATTTACCGATATTTGAAGCCAAAAAATACCAACTTTTTTTTGCACACCCCTAGTTATCATGAATCCCCCCCCATGCTTCTAGGATTGAACATGCCATATTTATTGAGCATGCCTATCATAGCTCTTCTAAACTAGCACTAAGCATCTTGAGCTCTCGAAAGCACTCCAGAGAATTACTCACATCAGTTCTCATGGCCCTTTCTTAGACACCCAGGGAAATGCCGGTCGCCACTTTGGGGTCAGGAAACAATTTTCTCCAGGCCGGTTTGGCCAGGGATCCTGGAGGGGTTTTTTTGCCCTCTTCTGGGCATGGAGAAGGGGTCGCAGGCTGTGTGTGGGAGGAGGTAGTTGTGAATTTCCTGCATTGTGCAGAGGGTTGGACTAAATAACCCTGGAGGACCCTCCAACTCTATGATTCTATGTTTCTATGGTTGTGGTTTCTAGAAATCAATCATCCTTACGTTGGCCTCCAGGGCTCCTGGCAGTGCCCTCCTTCCTCGCTCCATATCTCCACCGCTGGTGTGCAGGAACACACAGAATGCGATGCTGGCCTCGTGTCTGGATGCCCCGTGTCCATCAGCATGAGGGCCCTTGTGCTTCTGTCTCCTCCTCGTCTTCCTGATACCGTTCCAGCTCCCGCCTTTGTGCCCGATAGGAGGCTGGAAGGAGGGGGAGGAACAGAATGGCAAGTGGTGAGGATGACGTGGGCTTTCTGTACTCCTGGTATGCCGCTCCCCTATTTTGTTCAGTGCTTAGCTTTTCGATACGACATTTGGTATGTGTTGTGCCAAAGGAACTCTGCAGTTATTTACATGCAGTTCCCAAAAACACACACGTGTCATTTACTTCAGTATTCTGCAGAAGGCAAAACGAAGGAAGGAAAAATAATATGTGGTTGGGTCCAATTCACTGTTTCTATCAGTTCTATCCAGCCCTCTTCTCTTCCATTCTGCAGGTGTCATTCACTGGTCTTTCTGCCTACACAGCCCTTATCATCTTCAAGGCCAGAGCTGGAAATGTGGTAATTAGCTTCTCATGAGAACCTGCAGACCATAGGCTAGGAGGGGAGGAATCAGGGGTGATGATGAGGTAATTTCTAGAGGGCACCAGCAAGAAAAGTGACCTGATTGGGTGTCGTCATCACCTGATGCTGCTCAGCTAAAAAACTATAATTGAGCTAAGAGCCCGGAGAAAAGAGTCTAGCTTGGATTCTGATGGACTGAAGGCCTGGGCTATGATTTGTGCCATCTAACGCAGGTCTTGAAGCGTGTTAGATAGTTAAGCTAGCTTCCTTGTCCTTTGCTGCATGGTTTTAGAGTGCTGTGTTGACAGAAATTAAATACAACTTCACATAATTTTTAAAACTAAAAAAGGGTTTGGTTAGTTGTGCACAACAGCCCTAGGGTTCAGCCTTGGACTCCTTGACAAACACGCTTCACTCATCATCAACTGATGGAGGACCTAGCAGCGTTGGATTTATATCCCACCCTTCACTACCCGAAGGAGTCTCAGAGCGGTTTACAATCCCTTTCCCCTTCCCCTCCCCACAACAGACACCCTGTGAGGTACGTGGGGCTGAGAGAGCTCTCTTGAGAACTGCCCTTGAGAGAATAGCTCTGAAAGAACTTGTGACTGACCCAAGGTCACACCAGCAGCTGCATGTGGAGGACTGGGGAATCAAACGTGGTCCCCCCAGATTAGAGCCTGTGCTCTTAACCACTACACCAAACTGGCTCTCATTCAAGGAGATAACACCTATACGAACTTAAGAGTGATGTAGCGCCCCCCCCCCCAGTGTCCAGGCATGCTGAGTCCCTCACTCCAGCAAAAGCTTTGTCAGGGATTTGACGAAGGGAGTGTTGTCTCCAGTGTTCCCTCTAAGCGGAGTTAGCGTGAGCTAGCTCACAGTTATGTAGCCTCCGGGTCACACATTTTTGTCTTCGCTGAGGAAGGGATGGCTCCAGAGCAAACTCATTTATGTAGTAGCCAAATCACTCACCCACAACTTTAACACCAGTAGCTCACAAAGTAGAATTTCTGCTCACAAGACCCCACAGCTTAGAGCAGTGATAGCGAACCTTTTAGAGACCGAGTGCCCAAACTGTGACCCAAACCCCACTTATTTATCACAAAGTGCCAACACGGCAATTTAACCTGAATACTGAGGTTTTACTTTAGAAAAAACAACTCATACATTAACTTAAGATGATCCAAACAAAGTAAGGAAAGCAATCCCAAATGCTTTCATTTACTTAAAATTATTTGGCAGAGAATTCGACACTTTAATGATGGTCTGGGCCTGGCTGGGGCGATGGCACGCGTGCCCACAGAGAGGGCTCTGAGTGCCACTTCTGGTACCCGTGCCATAGGCTCGCCACCACTGGCTTAGAGGGAGCATTGGTTGTCTCTCAATAGCCTATATCCTGAAAAACCTTGTTGGTTTCTAAGGGGCTACCAGACTCGTATCTAGCTGTTAACGCCCCTCCCTGGCAGAAATATCCTCCCTATTTACCTGGCAGGTGACGATCTTTGAACGGGGGGCGCCCCGCCGCATCCCACAGAGCCCGCATCCGGTTGAAATAACGTGGTACGTTGGCAGGCCTCTCTTTCCCCTCCGCAGCAGGCCTACCGGCGGCAAAGAAATCCGTCTTCAACTGTTTCCACTTCGATCGCAGCTGGTCGATCGTCCGGTTGAACCCCAGAGAGCACAGCCGGTCCCGAATTTTCCCCCAGTGCTGCTGACCTCTCTGTGAACTGCTGCTCATCAGCAGGGCGAGGGCAGGGCTGACCTTGACGCTGTTCAACAGGGCCACCACCTCCTTCCCTTCCCAGCGCTGGCCACGGACGCGAGGCGTCATTTTCGTGAACAACACGGACGGCTCCGGGCTAGTCACATTGAGGCCGGCTTGGCACGTGTGCGGAGGGCTGCAGAAGTGCAAACGCCTGTATGTCTTCTCCCCTGCGTGGCTTCTCTGATGGATGCCGACCTCGGAGCTCGAGGGAAAGCATTTCCCACGGACCAGGCATTTGTGCGCTTTCTCTCTTGTGCCGGTGCCCTTTGGGATTAAACCTTTCCTGTAATCAGGGCAGGGGTGGCGCTTCTCCCCAATATCAATTCCCGTTTGCACTGCGGTGTCACTGGAGGCCTTGAGGCCTCCCACACAAGGGAGGGATTCATCCCCATCCTCCGATGGACAGTCCGGCTGCCCACACTCAGCTCTTTCCTCACTCGCAGAAACGTAGACCCGTCGACAACACTGGGAAACATTCGCTTCTGCTTTCCATATTGAGGAGCCATGAGGCCTAACCAGATCCATGTCCTCAGGTAGGTATCTTCCCTCCTCATCTAGGGCCATCCATCTTTCAGCTGCTGCAGAAATGAGAGATGCTTAAGAACAATTGTTTGACACAGTTGCGAGGAAGTGGTTAGCATGCTAGGGAAGTACAAGAGAACTTAACGTTCAAATTCACTGGGTGACCTAGTCTTAATTGTCTTGGGGGGGGGCCTAGGGCAAAAGCCCAGGATGGGGGCTGCAGAATCACCACACCCTCTGCTGGTGAGGCAAGGGTTGCGAGGTTGCTCCTGGCAACCAACGGAGGATGGGGAGACTCAGGGCTATTTTTGGGCAGGAACGCACAGGAACGGAGTTCCGGCTGGCTCCTGAGTTGGCCACGCCCAGCAGGAGCTCATTAGCATAATAGGCCACACCCAACAGCAGAATCGCATTAGAATTGGCTACATTAGGGGTGTGTGGCCTAACATGCAAAGGAGTTCCTGCTATTAAAAAAAGCCCTGGGTTTTGACCACAAACAAGGTCAACAGAATAAGAAGCAAAAGGTGGGCGTGGCTGGATCACCACACTTCTGGTAACATGTGGGTGTGGCCTAATATGCTAATGAGCTGTGCTGTCAGGGCTGTGGCCTAATATGCTAATGAGTTTCTGCTGTTGGGTGTGGCCTATTATGCTAATGAGTTCCTGCTGGGCTTTTTCTACAAAAAAAGCTCTGGGGAGACTTAAGGAGAGCAGGAGGGAGGCCCAGCTTGACGTTACATTGACGTGTCCACGTCACTTCTGATGTGACCCAGAAATGACACAGAGCTGCTGGGGCGACACTCTGGTATTTGGGCAAAAACTCTATGGTAAATTTGGCCTCCGCCATAGAGTTTTTGCCCAAATACCAGAACATCACCCCCGACATCGCTGATATGATGACATCACTGCCAGGTCGCGTCAGAAGTGACGTAGACATGTCACTGCAGCGCTGACTGGGCCTCAGTCTTTTTTCCGGGTCAATCTCCCCTGCCAGCCAGCTGATTGGTGGTGGGGCAGTGGGGCCTGGTGGCGGGGGACCCCTGCCTCCACTGGGGTGTCTGGCAACCCTACTCTGGGCCCAAGCAAGGAGGAGCTGACTGACAAGGAGGCAGGCATAGGCAGCTTCCCTTCACTCCGGCTGCCTGAGGCCCAGAGGGGGTGGGCATGCATTGTTGTGGGAGCCTGCTCTCCCTGTTCCTTTCCCCTCCTTTCCCAGGCCAGGGCAGCGGCCCCAGATGTACTGTGGCTAACTTTGCCCCTGGGGTGGCCCCGAGCCAGTTTGGCATAGTGGTTAAGAGTGGTGGATAGGGTTGCCAAGTCAAAATTTCTCCGGAGCGGGGGACTTTCCCTCGGATGACCATGGACCCGCCCCCAGCGTGCCCCGTGTTGTCACGTCACTTCCGGGTGACGCGCACGTCGTGGTGGGGTTCCCCCTGGGGCCCGATCCGCCAGCGGCGGGGCACGGGCGTCTGGGACGGGGGTTTCCCCGCCCCCCGGGGGACTTGACAAGCCTAGCGGTGGACTCTAATCTGGAGAACTGGGTTTGATTCTCCACTCCCCCACATGCAGCCAGTTGGAAGACCTTGGTCAGTCACAGTTCTCTCAGAGCTGTTCTCTCAGGAGCAGTTCTCTCAGAGCTCTCTCAGCCCCACCTACCTCACAGGGCGTCTGTTGTGGGGAGGGGAAGAGAAAGGAGACTGTAAGCCTCTCTGAAACTCTGAATGAAGGGTGGGGTATAAATCCAACTCTTCTTCATTCTATCTCAGCTGGGGATATCTCACAGGGTTGTTGTGAGGATGAAATGGAGGAGAGAAGAACCATGCACACTGCTCTTGGAGGAAGAGCAAATAAGTAGAAGGACAGAAAGACAATGGAGTGGAGTTTCGTGGGGAAAGTGGGCCCTACCAGACCTTAGAGGACATTAAAGGTTAGAGGTAAAGGTTCCCTTGCTCGAAAGCCAGTCGAATCCGACTCTAGGGTTGCGGTGCTCATCTCCGTTTCAAAGCCAAAGAGCCAGCGCTGTCCGAAGACGTTTCCGTGGTCATGTGGCTGGCATGACTAAACACCAAGGCGCACGGAACGCTGTTACCTTCCCACCGAAGTGGTCCCTATTTATCTACTTGCAATTTCTTGCTTTCGAACTGCTAGGTTGGCAGGAGCTGGAACTTGAGACGGGAGCTCACTCTGTCATGCGGCGCACTCAGGTCTTGAACTGCTGAACTACTGACCTTCCACAGTAGAGGACATTACAAGACACCAAATATCTGCACCAGCTTCCAGAGATTCCTAAATCTAAGTGAAGTATAGCATTGCCAGCTCTGGGTTGGGAAATACCTGGAGATTGGGGGGGTGGAGCCAGAGGAGGGAAGGGTTTGGGGAGGGAAGGGAAGGGACCTCAGTGTGGTACAGTGCCACAGAGTTCACCTTCCAAAGCAGACATTTTCTCCAGGTAAACTGATCTCTGTCGCCTGGAGATCAGTTGCAATAGCGGGAAATCTCCAGCCACTACCTGGAGATTGGCCACCGTAGTGAAGTAGGATACAGAAGCATCTTAGCCTAGACAAAGTAAAGCCACAAACAGACTGATTTCCATCTGCTACATCTTAATTTACCTGACTCTCTACTGCGACGGAATGTTGTCAAACATTAACATAAGAACATAAGAGACGCCAGTGTTGGATCAGGCCAAAGGCTCATCCAGTCTAACACTCTGTCACACAGTGGCCCAAAATACCAGGTGCCATCAGGAGGTCCACCAGTGGGGCCAGGACATTAGAAGCCCTCCCACTGTTGACCCCACCCAAGCACCAAGAAGACAGAGCATCCCTTGCCCCAGAGTTAAACATTCCAGCTGAGAAGGAGCATGTTTTCCTCTACAACAGAATACCATAAAGTTTTTTTTAAAATAAATAAAGTCCCACCCAAAGAAATAACTCACTACAGATTTTTCTTACAATTTTCAAGGGTTCTTGAGATTCTAGTGATTGACAAGCCCCCAAGTTTCCAGAACAGAGAAGGCGCCACAACCGCCGTCATCCTAGGAAGGTGCTTCTGAGCATCTCAGATCTCAGGCACCAAGAGGCCCTCATCCTCACCTGATGGGCTGTTGTCTCCATCCTCCTCCTTCTCCTCCTTGGTTTCTGGGCCCAAACTTCTCTGGTCCAGGTCTGAAGCTTCAGAAAAACTCACACACCCCTCCTCAAATGCTACCTGCAACAGAGGAGGAGACATTTTAGGACAGAACGACAGGGCCTGGAGGGCAAATTCTAGGTAAAAGGCCCTGATTCTGCCCCCCCCCTTGCAGTTTGAAGCCCCATTGATCGATCAAGGATGAAAAACCAGGACAGAAATAATATACAAATATTGTTGATCCTTTCTTTTCCCCCCCTTTTTAATAGGGGGATTCAAATCAGTTGGGCACCCAGAGGTTGGGTGAGAGAGAAAAATATCTTGAGACACAAATTAAACAAAATATATATATATTCATTACAAAGTGCACTAAAACTATACTTTAAAAACGTTGGCACAATCCGCCCTTGACGTGGCGAATATTTGAATTAAGGTCCTGAATTTATTTAACCTGATAATTTTGATTTTTCTAGGTTAAAAACCCTGAACCAATAAAACAGGACCAATAATTCCATATATCTAGGTTGATAACCTTGAACCACATTAAACGTGTTTCGGCCTCCAGGACCTCTGCCAGTGGTCAAATTTTTGTATATACATGCACACTACAACATATAAACATGTTTTAGTGCCAAGGCAGGTTGATTATAAGACATTTGAGTGTGTGGCAAAAGACTTGGGTTGTGTGATGGCTATCTTAAACTTTTAAGTTAGGGCTGCCAAGTCCCCCCGGGGGGCGGGGAATCCCCCGCCCCAGAGGCCCATTCCCCCCGCCGGTGGATCGGGCCCCGGGGGGAACCCCACCCCGGCGTGCGGTGTGTGCACGCATAGGACGCCGGACGGGAGTCCCCCGCTCCCGACGATTTTCGACTTGGAAACCCTATTTTAAGTACACGCATCCAAGGAATGCAGGTTTAATAGTTCTTTCTCACTATGGCTATCATAACTCTCAGAGTGTGGATATACGTATCAACCTTTAACTGACAGTCAACTCAAACCAGTCAGGCTCATTCAGGAGAAAGAGGAGTGGATTCAGAAGGACAGAATAATCCATTGAAAATGTCTTTATTTTAGATGAAAGTCAGAAAGTGAAAGGCCAGTCCCCTAAATAGAACCCCCACAGAAAATGTCCTCATCCATAGGCACCATCAGAGAAGGAGACAGGAGAATCTACTTTATTCTGATCTCCAGAACCTGCAGGCCTTGTCAACAGAGTTGCCAATTCGACTGGGAAAGGGAAAGACATCAGTGGGGTATAATGTCATTGGGTCCATCCTCGAAAGCAGCCATTTTCTCCATGGAAAGAGATCCCTGTAGAATAAGTCGTAATTCCACGAGATCTCCAGACCCCACCTGGAGGTTGGCCAAAATTACCAGTTAGGGTGAACAGTCTCCAGGTGGGGCCTGGAGTTTCCCTGGAATTATGACTGATTTCCAGAGTAAACACATCTGTTGCCATTGAGAAAATGGCAGGTTTGGAGGGTGGACTCTGTGGTATATGATAAAGATCAGGAGAAATGGAAGTTCCTATCTAGTCATCATGAGCCTACCCAGTCCCCCAGTCAGGAAAGGGAATTCCCTCACCCGCAGGTCCTGTGCCCACCAATGCTCCAAGTGATGAGGGGGAAAGATGGATTGCATGTGTTGCTACATCACATCCTGTGAAAATGTGGGAGTGATGGAGGGTAGTTCTAGGAATCTGTGGAATCTCTATGGTTTTACCATAGAGCTACCCTATGTCCCTATGTCACTTCCAGGTTTTCACCCGAAGTGACATAACAGCCCTTGAGATGGTGCAGCCCCCGCCCCCCCCATCTTCACTGCCAAATCTCCTAGTTGTTCGCAGGCACAGACTAGCAACCCTAGGCACCACCCTCAAATCTTCAGGAATTACCAAGCCAGAGTTAGCAACCTTAGCCCCAGGTGCGAAACAGGAGAGAGATCTCAACATTTGGTCCACCACAGACCTCCTTGTGTTACACAAAAACAACACAGGGGAACTCTCACCTCTTTCTCCTGTCTTTGGGCCTCCTGCTGTCTCAACAGGAAATCCTCGGCCAGGGTCACTGCCTGGGAACAGGTCTCTGGTCCACATTCTCTAACCCGACTCTGGATCTCCAGGGGCAGGATGGTCAGGAGCTGTTCCAGGATCAGCAGCTCTAAGATCTGTTCCTTGGAGTGTCGCTCAAATTTTAGCCACCGGCAGCAAAGTTCCTGCAGTTGGCCATAAGCCGCTCTCGGCCCCTCAACCTCTCGGTAGCAGAAGCACCTGAAGTGTTGACGTTGCTTCTCCCTGTTGATGGCATCCCCTCGCAAGATGGCCGCCTTCACTTTCCCATAATCCTCTCTGTCTCGGGCATCCAGTTTGATAAAGGCCTGCTCCGCTTCTCCACTGAGGGCCGGCAGGAGTCGGGTTGCCCATTCTTCTCTGGGCCAGCGGCAGGCTTCAGCCACCTGTTCAAAGGAGGCCAGAAAAGCCTTTGGATCATCCCAGGGTGAAGGCTTGTTGTCCAGCAATACTGGGATCCCCCGGGCTGTGTGAGGGGAATCCAGTTTCTTCAGGAAACCCTGCCACTGGTCTTCCCACTGATGAAAGGAAACCTCCTCTGGCTCCTGTTTAATCTGTTCTCCCGGTCTCCTTTGCAGAAATTCCCTAATATTCTCGGCTTGGAGAGTATGAGGGGCCTTCCCTGCTCCCTGAAGTACTTCTACTGAGGTAGGGCCCTGTTCCTCCATTTTCATAGTCAAACGAACTCACAAAGATCACGTTGCACGATCAGAACTTCCAAGATAAGTGACTGGGCTCTGAACCCACGTTCCGAGGTTCTACCTGCATAAAGAGAGAAGAATGAGAGAGAATACATGAGTCGACGGTCAACCTCTGGTATGCTGGCTGCTGTTTGTGTTCAGAAAGACTGACCCAGATACCAAATGTATATAAAACTATGTGGATGCCAGCCCCCATGTGGGACCTGGGATTCCCCTGGAATTATAGCTCATCTCCAGACTATAGGGACCAGTTCCCCTGAAGAAAACAGATGCTTTGGAGGGCGGACTGTATGACACTGTACTGCACTGAGGTCCCTGAATCCCCCAGGCTCCACCCCCAAATCTCCGGGGGTTTCCCAACCTGGCAACCCTACTCCACCCTCTCCTGCCAGTGGACCTGGCAGCTGTCCGTCCTAGGGTTGGCCATCCCCCTCCTGGTGACCATCAGGGCATGGAAAAGGAGGAGGAGAATTGCTTTTATACCCCGGCTCTTCAGTACCCGAAGGAGTATCGGGGCAGCTTACAACCGCCTTCCCTTCCTCTCCCAACAGACACCCTGTGAGGGAGGTGGGGCTGAGAGAGCTCTGAAAGAACTGTGACTGACCCAAGGTCACCCAGCTGGCCTCATGTGGAGAAGAGGGGACTCAAACCCGGTTCTCCAGATCAGAGTCTGCCGCTCTTAACAACTACTCAGAGAGCAAGTTTGATGCCGTGGTTAAGAGCGGTGGACTCTAATCTGAAGAACTGGGTTTGATTCCCCACTCCTCCACATGCAGCCAGCTGGGTGACCTTGGGTCAGTCACAGTTCTTTCAGAGCTCTCTCAGCCCCACCTCCCTCACAGGGTGTCTGTTGTGGGGAAAGGAAGGGAAGGAGATTGTAAGATGCTCTGAGACTCCAAGTGAAGGGTGGGATATAAATCTAACTCTTCTTCTACACCAGGAGTATCATTCAGAAGCAAAACCCATAGATCTACAATGCAGGCCTGATTTAAGGCCATTGGACTATCAGCCTTTACAGAAAATAATGCAGAATATCCGGAGTGGGGTCTGTTCCAGGGCTGCATCCCCTGTGGAGCCGCCGCTTGAAGACCAGCCTTGGTAGAGTTACAGAGCACTTAGAGAAACCAACACTTGGGGGTGGATTACAATTTGCTAAAGAAGAGCCACAAAGATGGAGAGCATCAAGTGCAGAGCCAGCTCAGCCGTAGGTGCCAACTGCTCCTGGTAATGGTCAGCAGCTATCAGCAGCTATATGATGTGGTCCTTCAGGTAACGGGGCATTGCAGGAAGCAGATGGATTCTATCCAGAGCCAGTTTATGCAACAGAGACGGGATAGATGGGCCACAGTCAAATCTCCTGAATTTAATCAGGGAGAAGACATTGGCAGTTACCTGGCCCTTTTTCAGGACTGTTGTTTATCTTGTGCCAGTCCTTACAATAGTACTGTCCCTATATCACAGCAAATAAACAACATTAATGATAAGCTCATATATGAGACATCTCAGAGTGGTTTACAATCCCTTTCCCTTCCCCTCCCCATAACAGACACATTACATTTCAATTTATTGTATTTAAGACTGTATTTAATGCTTTCATTTCATAGCACCACATTCTTTTGATCGATGCAGTTAGCAGAAGACCTGATGAAACTAAGAATCGTTTTATTGTTACGGGTAATATTGTGTAAGGAATGGACTTTGCAGTTGGCTACCAGAAAAGAAGGTGGCGGCTACCCAACCATCATTTGTGGCCACCTAGCCTCGGGAAGTAAACCAAGGTACAGAGAGGTTTGAGGGTGCCAGGGACCAAACCTCCCTCATGCATGATATATCCTCTTTCCACTGAGCTGGACGCCCCCTTCCCCATTTTGTTTTCACAACCTACATATTATCCCCAACAGGAAGAAAAATTAAGGCAGGATCAGAGATTCTGCAATCAGCTGAAAGAGGGGGTGCAAATCCTTTCCTTTCATGGTAGGTGTAATGTATTCAGCCTGACATGCCCGGACTTGCCCGGGCTGGCCAGGCACAACTCTTCAATAGCTTCATGTCCCAAAGACAATGGGTCCGTAGGATCCTAGCCGGCCCAATCAAAGGGCCAGCTTCTCAGCCAGGAGACCAATGGTCGCCCGGTTACTGTAAATAGCCTATCGGGAGTAGGGTGTGTGTGTTAGGTGTACTTGGTGGCGGGTTTTCTGAACATATATATCCAGCCTGCGAGCTGGTCTTTTCGTCTTTGTCCTGAACTAAATAAAGGTATGCTTAGCTGAAATCGCTCTCCGTCTGCATACTTTTCACTGGCGACGAGGATGGGATCGACGACCCCATGAACAAAGACCCGGACGCCAAACCGAGCCCCGCACCGAGCACCGACGCCGAGACCTCCGGGAACCGCGCAGCGTCGCATCCCAGCTCTCCGGCAACCGCTCACCGCGCAGCTCCCGGCTCCGCTTCGTTCCCTGCTGACCCCGAGAGCAGCAGCGGCCTCCACAACGCTCCCGACGCCATCGCCGTTCCAGAGGCCACCCCACCACGTGGCGACAGTACAATGGCGACCGCGACCGCAACAGAAAGCCTGCCCGCTTTCGATCTCTCCCAGCCCTCGCTGTGGGACACCTGGCTGGACACGCTGGAGAGCCGCTTCACCATCCACAAGGTGGTGGATGACGCGATGAAGAAGGCTTACCTGCTGAGCCACTGCGGAATCCAGACCCATCGGCTCCTCAAGGACTTAATCTCGCCCAAACTAACGAAGGACGAGTCATACAGCTCCTTAGTCCAGGCCCTGACCGACCATCTGGCTCCCAAACCCACGAAGTACGTGGAGCGGTTGGACTTCTTCGCAAGAGTTCAGGGCCCCAGCGAAACCACCTCCGATTTTCTGGCGGCGCTGCGGAGCCTGGCGACCCGGTGCTCCTTCCCCAGCCTCGACGATACCCTCCTGAACCAGTTCCTCGTCGGACTCCGGGAGCCGAAGCTGCAGAGGAAACTGGTGAGCCAGAACGATCTGAGCCTGGACAAGGCCATCCGGGAGGCCTCAGCATACGAACAAGCGCGACAAGACCGCCGCGCCAAGGCGGTCCACCGTACCCAAGTGAGCAGCGGCTCCGACGTCTCGGACCAAGAGGAAGTCCTGCAACTCCGACAGCGGACTCAGCAGCGATCAAAACACGTATCCTCCAGGACCTCCAAGGCCCCGTCTCCAAGTCAGTGCGCCAGCTGCGGGGAGGATCACGAACGCAGGTCGTGCCGTTTCCGGAATGCGGTCTGCCGTTCCTGCAACAAGGCAGGACACATCGCCAAGGTCTGCCGGTCCAAGGGACAACGACCGAGATCGGCCACCCACCAGACCACCGCGGAACTGCCCCTGGAGCTCCACACCGTGTCGTCCCACTTTCCACAGCACCAGGTCTGTAACCTGCCCCCCGACGGCCCAAATAAAATGCATGTGACGGTCCTCATAGAGGGAGCCCCCTGCACCATGGAGATCGACACCGGGTCGACCTACTCCATAATATCCGCGGACACGCTCCGTGCACTGTGTCCTCGGGGGGGGCCACCACTACAGAAGTCACGGGGTTTCCGGTTACGGGACTTTAACAAAAACCCCGTGGCGGTGGTGGGCTGGGGCAAGTTCCGGGTCCAGTTTCAGGGTTTCAAGGGCCAACTGGACCTACTGGTTGTGGACCGGCCCCTCTCCAGCTTGTTGGGACTGGCCTGGTTCAAGGCCCTGGGGCTCTCCGTTACGGGCATCAACCAGGTTGGAGCGCAGGATTTCGGGGCGGTGTGCGCAGAATTTCCCCGCATCTTCGATGGGACCCTGGGGCGGTACACGGGCCCTGCCATTTCCCTGGACCTAGACCCCGCGATACGCCCCATCCGCATCAGGGCCCGGCTGCCCCCGATCTCCATGAGGCCGAAGGTGGAGGCCGAGCTCGATCGCCTAGTTGAGCAAGGCGTGCTAGAACCGGTGGCGTCGGCCCGGTGGGAGACCCCCATTGTCACACCACTCAAGCCGAACGGGGACGTCCGCATCTGCGCGGACTATAAATGCACCATAAACAAAGCCCTGCAGCCCCACGCGTACCCGGTGCCGGTAGTAAGCCAAGTGCTGGCAGCCCTGGCAGGGGCTCGGGTGTTCGGCAAACTGGACTTGGCCCAGGCGTACCAGCAGCTACCGGTGGACGCCGCCACGGCCGAGGCACAGACCATTGCGACCCACAAAGGGGCCTTCAAGGTGCACCGCCTCCAGTTCGGGGTCTCAGTCGCGCCGGGGATCTTTCAATCTTTTATGGATTCCCTCCTTAAAGGCATCCCCGGAGTTCAGCCGTTTCTAGACGACGTGCTGATCGCCGCGCCAGACCCCTCGTCCTTCGCAGACCGTCTGAGGGCCGTTTTACAACGCTTCGACGCGGCGGGCCTCAAGGTGAAACGGGAGAAGTGCCTACTGGGGGTGCCGCGGGTGGAGTTTCTGGGCTTCGCGGTGGACGCCGCCGGCCTGCACCCCTCCCAGGACAAGGTAGAAGCCATCACACACGCCCCGGCCCCGAAGTCCAAAACGGAGCTACAGGCGTTCCTAGGCCTGGTGAACTTCTACCACTCCTTTTTGCCCCTGAAGGCGGCCGTCGCGGAGCCGCTCCACCGCCTCCTCGACAAGTCGGCGCAATGGGCCTGGGGGCCACCACACGACGCAGCTTTCCAAACAATAAAGGACCTCCTGGTCTCTAATGCGGTCCTCGCCCATTTTGACGAGGCCCTTCCCGTGGTACTGGCGTGCGACGCTTCCCCCTATGGGGTCGGGGCGGTCCTGGGGCACAGACTACCGGATGGTCGCGAGGTCCCGGTGGCCTACTACTCGCGGACACTGTCGTCGGCCGAGCGCAACTACGCGCAGATCGACAAGGAGGCGTTGGCAATCGTGGCAGGGGTGAAAAAATTTCACCACTACTTGTACGGCCCCTGCTGGG